TGCATGCCGTCTGAACCCACAAAAACCTCTTCAAGCCCCGCGCATCCACACCAGCCCGTCCAGCAACTTTGCCCTGGCGAATTGCCTTGATCAGAGAAGGCGGGGAGCATAAAGTGGAACAAAGGATTGCGTTGCAGTTATCTTGGGAAAGGAGGGGGGGCAATAGAAGTAAACTGGGGACGAGGAAAACGCGGAAGAAAAGAGGATGTAAGGATAATGTGGAAAAGGAAAAGGAGGAGCAGGAGGACGAGGAGGGGGAGGAGGGGGAGGAGGACGAGGAGGGGTAGGAGGGGGATGATGCTGATGATGCTGATGCTGATGCTGATGATGATGATGATGATGATGATGATGATGGACGACAATGGGAGGACGATGATGGAGGCCGATGAGGGGGAGGACGATGATGAGAAAACGAGAGGGGGAGAGGGAGGACGAAGAAGAAGAGGAGGACGTGGAGGAGGAGGATGACGATGACGATGAGGACGAAGAAAGAGGAGGAGGAGGAGGAGGAGGAGGAGGAGGAGGAGGAGGAGGAGGAGGAGGAGGAGGAGGAGGAGGTGGATGAGAGCGCCATCTACAAGGAAGGTGGGGGCCACGAAAACCGCCGGCTCGACGACGCCCGCGTCGCCCGCGCCCGCCCCCTCACTGTTATCCGCAATTGCGGGGTGCTACGTACTGAGTTCTTTGAACTGCAAGAACATCGTGTAATGCACTTGCGACCTGTTCCGCTCGCCGTGCCTCCTGCCTCCGCATGCTCGCGACGAGAACTTTCTCGGGATGGACAGTCAGCCGGCTTGGATGCTGCAGAAGTGGGACGGCGAAGATGGAGACCCGAGGGGAGGGCAACAGTGTAGCGCAAGGTTATAGACGAAATGCGCGGGAAGGTGCGCTGCAGAAGTGTTCGCGTGGCTCTGGTCAACGTGCCGACCACACTTGCACTGGCCAGTTCAAGCGGCATTCGCGACGTTTGTGGGGCCGTCCTCGTAACCTTTCTCGTGGCCGCCGACCAGGTGGCCGTCGAGGCAAGGCCAGAGGAGGAGGAGGTACAGTGCCACAAGAAGGCTCAGCGGAAGAAGGAGGACGGGGGGGAGCTCCGTCGACGTGTGGCCACTTTTTGTTTTCGCACAACTTCGTGGCGGTGCTGCGTGCGATGGGTCAGGACCCGTGGTGCCCAGTCCTCCTCCTTCTCCTCCTCCTTTTCCTCCTCCTCCCCCTCCTCCTCCTTCTCCTTCTCCTCCTCCTCCTCCTCGTCGAAGCCGGTGTTCCAAAAAGGGGCGGATGTTGGAGGCTTGGCAATGGGCACCAACACCTACACAGGGGGTGTGCCCCCACAGGGGGAAGATGGTCACATATTCCGATGTTGGTGGCGATCTTTCGGCCACGTAGGAAGCTCGAGCATTACCACCATCACCGAGGTCGGGATCATCTTCCCTCGGTGGAGGCACACCGCCGATATTGGTGTTGGTGTCAACCTCTAGGCCTGCGACACAAACGCTTGTCGACGCCAGGGCTGGACGTCCTGCTTCTGACGTGGACTGGCTTCCGAGGGCCCCGAGTCGGCCCTCGAGCCCTCGATCGAAAGCGAACTGTATGGATCGTGGCTCTCAGACTCCCTCGAGGGGGAGGATTGTGAGGTGTTCCGCAAGGGACGACCTCATCTTGCTTCCTTTTTCTGTCCGGCCCGCGCTGACCGAGCGTGACGCAGCAGGCAACCGCGCCCATAGCGCCGAGACGCCGTGCCCTAGCGGAGCGGGTGGGCCCAGGCAGCACGGCTTGCCCATCGTGGCGGGTACTCTGAAAATTCCCCGGCCTGACGGCACCCCATCTGCCTTCCGCGAGGGACGGTCTCCGAGGATGGAGAAACTCATGCGGCTGCCGCGTCAGGGTCCGGCCGAGCTCCTCCGCCCCTCGCCGTGCGCGGCCCACCCGCGGGGGGGTCGAGGGGCGGGAGAACAGGCGGAGGGTGACGTTCTCTGCGCGGGCGCGCAGGCTCGTGTGAATCCTCCCCCTCCTCCTCCTCCTCCTCCTCCTCCTCCTCCTCCTCCTCCTCCTCCTCGTCCTCGTCCTCGTCCTCGTCCTCGTCCTCGTCCTCGTCCTCGTCCTCGTCCTCGTCCTCGTCCTCGTCCTCGTCCTCGTCCTCGTGCTCGTGCTCGTCCTCGTCCTCTTCCTCGTCCTCGTCCTCGTCCTCGTTCTCCTCGTTCTCCTCGTTCTCCTCGTTCTCCTCGTTCTCCTCGTTCTCCTCGTTCTCCTCGTCCTCGTCCTCCTCCTCCTCCTCCTCCTCCTCCTCCTCCTCCTCCTCCTCCTCCTCCTCCCCCTCCCCCCTCCCCCCCCCCCCTCTCCCTCCCCCTCCCCCTCCCCCTACTCCTCCCACTCCCCCTCCTCCTCCTCCTCTTCCTCCTCCTCCTCCTCCTGTCCCCTCCTCCTTCTCCTCCTCCTCCTCCTCCTCGGGTCGGCGGGCAGAGGACACTCGGAGCGGCCCCGAGGGGCACGCTGGAGAGAGAGAGAGAGAGAGAGGCGGAACGTCCGGAGGAATGCGACAGGCAGCGAGCCGCGATCCTGATGGGCGCCTGTCGGGAACGAGCGGTTCCGACAGCTGCTGGAGAGAGGGGGGGCGAGAGAGTCCAGTCGACCCGCACAGCAAGGATGCGCGGTAAGGATGCAAGGGCCTTGGAGGGCCATGTTGGCGTTCTTCGAGCGAGGTTGGCCAGCGAAGTCGCTAAGGATGGGCCGAAGTGGCAAGAATGCAAGGGTAACCTTGGAACTGCTCTGAGGGGTGTTGTCGCTGCTGCCGCCAATAAAGTTCCTCCGCTCTCCTCGTCCTCCCGTGCCTCCGAAGCCTGCCTCAGCCCGAATACTTGTTCGTCGGGGGTCCCAGGGGATGAAACAAAACAGGTTGCCCCCGTGCCCCGAACAATGCCAAGCAACCGAGCCCATAGGCGACCGACATGATACTGCTGGTGTGCTCAATTATCCACCAGTTGCTCGTCTTAGTGTGGATATAACTTTGAGTGGTGCCCCAGCTTCCCTTCAGCTGGAATCCCCCAGCCTGAGCGTGCTGCGGCCCGAGCGTCCCCCGCCTGCAGAGTCAAGTGGCAAACTGCAGTCAGACCACCGTTCAGGTGTCACGTGCTGTTGTTTCTTAGTTGAGGAGCTCTAGGCACCCCAGAGGTTTCTTTCCTATTATTCTCCTTCGGCTCAAGAGAGGTGCCCAGAATCCTCTCCGGGTCAATCATGGTCAACTCTTCGTCACGGGTCGATGTCTGGTGGTCTGCGGGCCCGAAGCGGCGCCGCGGATGCAGACCCTAGAACCAGCCTGTTGCGACAACTTGTGAAGACTCGTCATCCTGTGGAAAGGGAAGAGGACGAGGAGGGACAAGAGAAGGATGATGATGATGATGATGATGATGATGATGATGATGAGGAGGAGGAGGAGGAGGAAGAGGAGGAGAAGGATGAGGAGGAGGAGGAGGAACAGGAGAAGGAGGAGGCGGCCAACGGCAACTTCTGAGCCCCTTGGTCCCTCGTGAGACCGCTGCGTCCTGCCCCGCGGAAGACCTGAGGAGGATAAAGATAAGACACGCTTGCGGCCCTCCTCCTGACTCCCTGCTGCTACAAGCACCCGAGGAGGAGGAGGATAAAGAGAAAGAGAAAGAGAAGATCGCGGGGCACAACACGGGTGGGTCGCTGGGCGGGCAACGAGAACATGAAGCCGCACCGCGAAACCCCACTTTAGCCACACACACACACTCAGCGAAAGTGTAATACCGTTCGGTCACTTCACCCTGATATGCTTTTACGCTGTCTGGCCTCTGTAAAACTCTGGAAGCCTCTCAGGCACCTCCAGGCAGGAGGAGGACGAGGCGGAGGAAGGAAAGGATTGACCCCAGGCGCATGAAACAGGACTGGCGCGGTGACGACGGAAGAGGGGAAGGTAAGCATGGTGGCGAGAAGGACAAGGAAGACAAACACGCATGAGGAGACGGAAAGACGCGGCCGGCCGGTCAGTCCCCATGGCGGCACGAAATAAGCTGGTCGCGCTGGCCGTGAATGATCAGCGTGGGGCTCGCGACCTATCGGATAGCTACCAGCCCCATCATCATGCCTCTGTGTTGCTCTCCCCGCCCCAATTCCCCAAAACCATTACCTGGACACGTGTTCCAGCGGACACGGAGCTCGACATGGCAACCCGCATCAGCTGTGGCGCTGTGTTCTCTCCAGCGCTAACCTGGACACAGGAGACGAACCAAACTGTCCCAAGTCCTGGCTCCACTGCTCACAGAAAATGGCGCCGCGCATCCAGACCCTTGCTCGTTTCGTCTTGTCCTGCTGGCCCCAGGCCTTCCCCACTCCACCTCACAACTAGGCGAATGGTACTTAGCCTGGCATGTAATATTCAAACTCCCATACGATACGCCTAAGATTGGATTCGTCCGGACCATGTCTCGTTCTCAGCTGTGTATGTTTGATCGGTGAGCGCTCCCGCCTCAATCTGCCTCCTCTGGGTTCACCTTTCTTTTCGCTGCGGCGCGGGGCGGTTGCACCATCCCGCGAAAGCTCGCATGCGCCACCCCCGGGCCGCGGAAGCAGAAGAAGAAACAACGGCATAAGCATAAACAGTTGGAGGTCCGCGCGGGTTTCTTGGATCCTCGCTGGACCCCCCTCCCTGGCGCACGACGCGCGCCAAGGGCGGCGCCGCCATGGGGGGCGTCCACAGATCCCAAAAGTCCGCGCGGAGCTCCAGTCATATCTGTGCTTCTGCCGTCATCACCTTCTTCCAGGAGAAGAGGATGCCGCACCGGGGGGGGGGGGCGAAGACGAAGCCGCTGGCGCCCGCTGTAGGGAGGTGCGGCCGGGCTGGAAGCTCACGGCGAGAGTGGCGGGGCACCCCGCGCCGCCCTCGCGCCCCGCGAGCGACGGCTCGGCCTCCGGCGCCAGGACACCGCCGGGGCGCGGCCGCTGCGCTCTCCGGGGAGGGGGGCGATCGAGCGCAGGGCGCCGGCTCAGCACCTGCTGCCGGTGGACCCGCAGGTCTTGCGCGCGGTGGCGCGGTCCACCGACCCCGACCCCTGGGCGCCAACGTCCGCGGCTAGGGCTCCCAACTTCGCGCTTCGCGCTCCGCGAAGCGCGAAGCGCGAATAACTTCGCGCTCTCGCGCCGCCCCCCCAAAGGGAGAACAGGAGGACGAGGAGGAGGGGGAGAAGGATCGAGGACCGCGAAGCGCGAAGCGCGAATAACTTCGCGCCCTCGGGGGCGCCCTTGCCGCGGTGTGCTCCTGGGGAAGCCGCAGGGCACCGAGACCGCCACTCCCCGGGCCCGACCCCGGGGCGCGCTCGGACCGGGACTTCGGGGCGAGGCCGGCCGTGGCGGCGAGGGCCTGCCAGGAGGCCGAACACGGGGAACACGGGCGAAGGGGCAGCAGTGTGGGGTATATACTAACTTCCTACCAGACCACCCCAGCCCAACCCGAAGACCCGAATTTCGGGTTGGGGGGGGGGTAAGGGTTCCACATGTGCTTTTTCGATGTTTCCCGACCCCCCCCCCCACTGGAAATGGAGGGTAAATCTGAGCCTTCGGGTTGGGTTGGGGTGGTTTGGTGGGTGGTGATATACCCCTTTCCCTCCTCCTGTGCTCCTGGGCCCTGCCGGCCGCGGCCTCGGCGCCCTCCCCCGACTGCCTCTGCAGCAGCGCCACGGCAGCCGCGCGCGCCGCGGCCGCGCCGGCCGCCGCGGCCAGGTCCGGGATGCTCTTCGAGGCCGCGCCCTTGCCGTCCTGCTTGCTGGCGCCCGCCTGCAGCATCTGCACGCTGCACGCCTCTCGGGCCTGTGCCGACCCAGGTCAGTGGTGGCGGCGCGCACGAGGGGATATGGGGGAGGAGGGAAGGCTTCTTGGAAGGAGGCTGCTTCTAGGAAGGCGCCAGGCTGCAGGCACGCGCCTTCTAAGACGCAGCGGTGCTTCTGAGAAGCCCTCTCCCCTGCCCTTACTCCCCCTGCGCGTGGCCGACGATGCCAACCCGGGTCAGTCAGGCTCCGCAGAATCCTGCAAGAACCCGCAGGATCCCGCAAGACCCCGAACGCAAGCCCGAGTCATGGCACCCCTGGCTCTGCAGGATCCTGCAAGATTCAGCGCTGTGGCCGACCCCCGACAAGCATGGACTGGACAAGCTTGTTCCACCACTCGCAAAGTAGCTACTCGCAAACGGCCCGCCTCCGCCGCGGGGGCATTTACAATCCATTGCGCCGAGGCAGGCATGTTTTTTTTGTTCTGGACGTTTGCGAAGAGGCACGTTGCGAGACGCGCTCGCTGACTGGCCCCCGTCTCGAGGCTCGAGGGCCTCGTCGCCGGCGGCGCCGCCGGCGGCGCACTCGTCGTCCACGAGCAGGGGCTGCAGCACCTCCTGGGCCCGCGGGGTCGTCAGGGGGCCGCAGAGCAGCAGCAGGGCCGCGGCGAGCTGCAGGCGGGGCATGGCCGGCTGTGGGGGCGGCAGCGGACCGGAGCCGAGGGGCTGGCGAGCCTGGGGGGGGAAAGGAGGAAGGGGCGGGGCCTTCTCAGAAGGCTTCTCAGAAGCCTCGGGACTTCGGAGGGAAGGTTTCTCAGCCTCAGAATGACCTCTCAGAAGGCCGGAGGGCTCCTGAGCAGCCCCGCCGCCCTCTGAGGAGGCCTTCTCCTTCTCACTTCCGCCCCATCGCTCGCCGCCAACGCAAGGACCGACGCCCAGCGGCAACAAAAAACCTGAGCCGAAAGTGCTCGGAGTGCGGCTCCCGCTGGGTAGTCGAAGCCAATCTGGCGCCAATCTGGCAGGCCCAATCTGGCAAACGGGGGCAATCTGGCGATGGAGCCAACGCGAATCCAGTCTGGCGAATAACCCCAATCCTCCAGTTTGGCCAGGCCAGATTGGCCCTTGGGGCCCAATCCAATCTGACAGTCTGGCCTTCGACTACCCAGTCCCGCGTGACCGACCGCGAGCATGTGTCTGTCACCCCTTTGGCGTCACAACCGGCCTGCACACGCTACATCGCAACCCAGACTGTCAAACAACGGCGACGGCTCGGAATCCCAGCCAAATCGACAAGCAAATCCCAGAAATCCGCCGACCCTGTCGGCGTGTGGAAGAGGCTGTTCCGTTTGACGCGTCGTCGTCGTCGTCGTCGTCGTCGTCGTCGTCGTCGTCGTCGTCGTGGTCGTCGTCGCCTTCGCCGCTCGCTTACCCCCCTTTTCCGAGGCCCGTCGCCGCTCCCGCGCTTTCGCCGGGTGCTCCTCCTCGAGCGCGCCAGCCACAGCGAGATGGAGCAACGTTGTGGTTGAGTCGAAGGGGGGTCCCGGGGGGGGCCCGGGGGAGGGGTCCCGGGGCAGGCACGACTCCCCCTCGGGCGGTTGGGCGGTCAAGAAAAGCCGAAGGACGCAGCAAAACTGCTCCAAAACGTCCTCAAGACGATCCTCGAGGGCCCCGAATCGCCGAAGTATCGGTCCAAGTCGCCAAAGTAGCCTCCAGACGGCTCAAAAAGTTTCCAAAACGCCCCAAGAGGCCTCAAAGGGAAGGGAACTTCCAAGAGGGCCCCAAGGGGCAACAATCATAGATTGTTGCTAGGTGTTTGAAAGATTTCAGCATTCTCGCCTTGTCAGCTTCCCGACGCTCCAAGACCAGCCAAGAGGCCCCCAAGACCGCTCCAAGATGGCCCAAGAGGCCTCCAAGAGAGCCCCACAACGACCCAAGAGGGCCCCAAGACCGCCCAAGAGGCCTCCAAGACAGCCGAGGAGGCCCCCAAGACGGCTCCAAGAGGGAGCCCAGACCGGAGACCCGAACGGACATTTCGAGCCCTCGGCCTGAAAAGCTCTCAGGAAGCCCCCAGAGGCCCCTAAGAAACCTCCCAAAAGGCTCCAAGAGACCCCCAATGAGGCCCCAACCAAGAGAACCCCAAGAGACCCCCAGGAAACCCCAAAGGGCCCCCACGAGGCTCCCAAGCGGCCCCCAAGAGCTTCCCAAGAGGCGCCCAAACTACCCCCAAGAGGCCCCCGAGAGCGCTCGTCGTCGTCGTCGTCGTCGTCGTCGTCGTCATTCAGGGTCGGCGGCACCAGCTGGAAGGCCTTCGCAATAGCAAGCACCAACATAAACATAACACAACATTTGGAGGTCCGCGCTGATCCTGTCGGGTCGAACGGCAGGCGGGGTTAGCCTAGCACAGGGGGGGTTTGCGCATCGGCTCGCGTATCTGATTTCTGCGGCGCCTTCCAGCACCGGATACGCAAATGTATAAAGGAAAGCGGCGGCGGTGCAGACGCCGACAGCGTGCAGCACCTGTTTTCGTAACCCCCCTTTCCCATCGCACTTCAGGGCCACATCCCAGACATAAATTCGAGCACCCCGTAAAGTAACGAAACAGTCGGCGAGGGGCCGAACGAATCTCGCCTCCCAGGGCCTGCGGGACGTGAAAACCGCCCAGTCCCGATAATTTCCTTGGTGCTCGACATTCTTCCTGGTGGCCAGGGCCCGCGGGACGTTGGAACCCCAGATCGAAACCGCTGTTCCCTGGGCCTCTCAAGGGGCGCGTTCTGACCAGGACTTCGAACGGAGTCCAGCGGAGGCGAGGAGGGCCTCCCGGGAGGCCGAGCAAGGGGAATCAACTGGCGAAGTGTAGCGGTATATGGGTACCTCCTCCTCCTCTGACCAGAAGCTTAAAACCTAACCCTCGAAGTTCTGCGCGGAGGTCCTGGATGGGCGCTGGACCCGCCCTCCCCCGCGCGCGGGAGAGCGCCGGGGGACGCGTCGCGGGCGCGGGCCGGGAGGGTCCGTCGCCGATCCAGGAAGTCCGCGGTGGCCGCTGGCAGAAGTGTGCTTGCGTCAAGCCCGTGTCGTGCCGGCTTCGGCGTTGGTTTCTGACGCCGCGGGGATCCTTCAACCTCGAACGATCGGCCGCTTCCGAAGCGTCCAAACCGTTCCACATCGAACGGTTCTGGGCCGCCCGCGGCGTTCAAACTTGAACGCCGCTGGCGGGGTTGCCGGGTTGCCGCCGTTCGACACGACACGAAGCTACCGTACACGTCGGCCGGAAGAAGTAGGTGAACATGTAATGTAGGAAGGCGGGCAGACTAGATTGGGTTGAGCCCTCGGAGATAATAACAACCCACAGCAAAATCATATCGGTTCCTGAAGTGGGAAGGCGCCTGAAGTAGATTAGGATTTGGGACTCCATAAATACCTGCCTGCTCCACCGAAGACCCCAGTGGCAGGGTTCGCATGGCGGCCTCCGGCGATTTCGGTACATCCTTCACACGCTTTTCATTACCCCACAGGGAACTCTGGACGTAAGCCCCAGTGGCAGCGCCCGCATGCGCCCTCCGCTCACTTCGGCACGCCCCACGCATGCTTCGGGGCTCCCATCCGCGATGCCCCGTGCTCAACACCTTTCGCGGCGCGCTGCTTGTGCTGAGAGGGGCACATCCTGCGATACTCGCAGCTGCATGTAGTTTTCAGTCGGGCATGTCCCCTTACAAAGGGATTCCGGGGGAACAATACAAAACTACGGAAAACGTCCCCCCCAAATGAACAAAAAAAATAAATGGTTGACGACTATTCTTCGACGATGTTTGAATTATTTCCCTCCTGCAGAGGGACAGGCCCGACTCAAATGTAGTCGGGTCCTTCGCCGGGCCAATTTGGCCGCCTCGTGCAAGGGAGTCCGTGCCCAGCACGGCTGGAGGGGGGGGGGCGCTAGCCCGTGGCGGAGAGGACTGTCAAATCCTCGAGCTCGTGGAACTACATTTCTCCCGCCCTGGGGGAGGAACGACCCATTAACAATTCTCCACCTGGCATGGCGTCGGGGTAGAATCATCGTGCCAGAGTACTATGAGGATCGCTGGCTTGGGAACGAAAGGGCTTTTCTGGCCACGGAGGTCCTCGGCCACGATTCGTTTCCGGAGCGGCCCAAAAACCAGAGAGCCCCTCTTGAGCCCCATGGGTCTCATGGTATACCGCGTTTCGTTTCCCAGATGAGCGACGAAACGGAACGGTACCCAGGCGAGATGACCCAGCGAAATTAAGCGGTGCCGACAGCGCGGCGCGCCACGTTGGAAACGACGGCGCTGACGCGCGACCGTACGCGGGCAGCTTCGCGCCAATGTCCGTGCAGACGACCTCGTTCGGGAGGGCGCAAGCATAGATTGGCGATCGATGGATTTGGCGCGCGGTCGCCAAATCCATGGATCGGGGGAGGTGCCCTCCCCCGTTCGGCGGCGGGATTCCGCGGTTTCCTTTGAAAACGGGACCCGTCGCTGATCCACGCCCCCTTGATCCATGTTCGCGATCGCCTGAGAGGAGGAGGCGGCGGAGGGGGAGGAGGAGACGAGCGTAGGGGGGGCCGCGTGTCCTCCCACCTACGGCGGCGGGGGCAGGGGCGCGGGCGGCGGGGCGCCAGGTGCGTCCTCCGCGCTCAGCGCCAGGTTGAAGATGGTGCCCAGCGCAGCCGTATTTATATATGACGGGGGGCTGGGTGCAGCGGCAGATGATGAGCTGGAAGCTGTGGACGGAAAAAGAACAGAATTCGAGCGACCAGGCAGCTGGACAGGGACGGTGAACGTCGCGATGAGAGGAGGGTGAGAAGGTGGGGGGCAAGCAACAGCAGCAGCAGATCTCGCGAGCGAAGGACCAGGAGGGGGGACTAAAGGATTAGAGTGAAGGTCACCGTGCGGCGACGTGAGGTGAGCAGCAGAGGACAGAACAGAGAGGCGGGGTGGCACGACGGCGTGGGGAGAGGGGCACTGGGCACCGAGAACGGGAGAAGCGGGCACGCTGGACTGGAATTTTCCAGGCGGGGAGTCAGGGCGGGAGGGGGACCAGGACGCGGGACGTGGAGAGGAAGGCCATAGCCTCTGAGATCGCGGAGTGGCCGAGGACGCGCGGCTCGTGGCAACCCGAAACGAGAGAGCCGCCATCCGAGAAGCGCCCGTGGCGGTCGGCGCCGAAGGGGTAGCCATCAGGGTCGGGGGAGCCCGCGTCTGAGAGCATGGCGACGTACCCCACGGAGTCGTCGACCAGATCCAGCCGCGAGGAGAGAATCTGGCAGCTCGCGAAGCAAGAGGCGCCACAGTGTCATCCCCACAATTAGTGATAGCTCGTGGCTCAGGGTTCGAGGAGCACCCAAGAGCTGAGCTTTGCGTTCTGACCATATCCGCTGACGGGGAGCACGTGGGAAGAACCGAGCACCGCCCAGCAGAGAGACCCTCGCAACGTACTCTAAGAGCCTGAGGCGGCGGGTTCGAGGAGCACCCGCCGTCAGGACTTTGCGTTCTGAGCTCGGCGGAAAGGCGAGACCCCTCCTCGCAACATACTCGCTGAGCCTGGACAGCTGGGTTCGAGGAGCACCCGCTGACAGGACTTTGCGTTCCGACTTCGATGGGAGTCGGTCCCTCCCAGTCGCAATCGCACAGGTCATGCGAGCGGCCAGCGAGTTGAGTGGCGGCCACAGTCGGCAATGGAGTCCCAGGCGTCGGGAGAGGAGTACATGGGGA